ACACACACACACACACACACACACACACACACACACACACACACACATACATACACACACACACACACACACATACACACACGCAAATTTGCTTACTCATTTTTATCAAGGGACTCTGCCTTAAACACACTTTCTATTACCTACACATATAAAGCGTCAGGAAGTGAACTTGAGTGTTATTGAGTTGCATATGGAGCCTAACTTCCCATCTCAAAGTGAGACGAGCTAAAGTGTGCAACGCCAGCAACAATATATTAAATAACTTGTTGCTAAACAAAATAAACACCAAGACCAAAAGGCCGAGAACCATATGGGTGTCGCATTAAAGTAGATAAAATCGTAGAGATTTATTTTTAACTTTAGTTCCATGACGAAGCACTCAGACGTAACCTTTTAATAAAAGAGATGACGGCCTCGCTGTGTCAATTTACATTGAAAACTAAGTGCCTTTATCGTCGACTTTATTCAATTCATTACTGCAATATGCTATACTTTGTAACAGTAAAGCTACCTTGTGAAAAAATTCATCGTACTCTGTGTGTTCATTTGAATGTTTCTGCCGCCAAGCGGTAATATGAACAATTACTGTGCTCCGGTTTTGTAGGGCAGGGTGCTGAAATTACAGGCAGATAAGTACCATCTGTTATGTAACGTATGTTTCAGGGTGAAGGGTTTAGTGGCAGTGCCCCTCAAATCTTTGCGATTTAAAGCTCTCAGTGGCATTGCTGCAACTGCTATGGGCAGGCGTGGCGCTTAACACCATGCGCACAACTCTTAGTAGCATAAAAAAATGTATTCATATATTACTTACAATGAAAATCAGAAACGAAGTTTTTTTAAATCTCTCTGGGAAGTACTCTGTTAATGTACTCTGGTGTATACGGTACCTTAGTTGCAGCTTGCTTTGGGTTGCGATTTGAATCAAAATCAGGACGCTTATCTGTCACAAGTTGTAAGAGTGAACTAGTGTAAAACTTTACCCAGCAGATCGCCGACAAATTAGTTTAGTTTGAGTATAGCTAGTAAACAGGGACAGCTAGATGCCCCTATATCATAAAGTGTCATGAGCATCCACTTGGCTAAAGTCGACCATGACCTCAACTAATGAAAAGGGATGACACAAATTGAAATTGACCAGTATTTCTTAAGTCTCATGTGGTTATTAGATAGGATGAATATAATATTACGTACTCTCGACCGTACAACCAACTTTTATATGACTGACAAAATTTTTAAAAGGAAAAGCAGATTATTATTCGAATGTTGAGTAACCAAAAAAAAAATAGCAATAATAAAACAAAAATGGTTCGAATTTAGTGATACAGTGAACGTGGTTTGTCGAAAAAAAACGTGACAATAGTAACGCTGTTACAAATCGAGATGACGGTAGTCGTTGACAGCGAAAGACAGTGGATAGATTACGTCTGTTCTTAAATTTGACAACTGCAGCTGGTAACACAACCGTTCCTAAATATTGGGAAAATAAAAAGAAATAATACCGTGCTAAGGTAGCGGAGGTCTATTTGTAACATAATTTTAAATTTTTTAATTTTATTTTGTGATTTTTTTTATTTTGATTTTAATTGTATACTAACTTTTTTATGCGTCCTCAAACAAAGTAGGAGGTTCTCAATGCGACTGTGACGCGATAATTCTAAAATTTGTGAACCTATTTTGATGACCCTTTTTTTTTGTTGGAACAAGGGTACCTCAGTAGTGGTCCCATTTAAATTTGAAGAAAATATTCCACCTCTCAGGGTGGCAAATTAAATGGACGTAATTCCATGAAGTTTTGAGGTTGATTTTTTTAGTACTCTGTACTGAGATTATCATTTAATATATTAACTTTTTGATCTAATAAAAAAATAATTCCTAAGTTATTTTACTAACATACTAAAGATAAATTGTCTTTGTCCAAAATAAAGTTTTATTATTATTACGAAAACACTTGTTAATAATTAGTGATATTAACAGAGTAAGAAAATTATGAAAATATTATTTCTATACTCAACGTAGGTCGTATCCTTGGTACATCGAGTATATAACCAGAAATAGAGACGAAATAAGGGCCATCCAACCCTCTCAACTCATCAGGCAAATGGGCCTTATGTCAAATATGGGCTTTATATTTAAATATCGACTCTCGTTTGCGCTGAAATCTTGAATTAGAAAACTGAATAGTACAGCGCCAACTGACCTGTGTGTACGTCTCTGTATATTCCATAAATGTTATGTATTTATTGTAATAAAGATAATATCTCTAACTATGGGAGTTGCTCCATACGGTGGTGTGGGAAAAACAGCAGAACATCTATAATTACAAAACAAACGGAATCGCATTTCATCAGTAATTAAATATGTAATTGCAATTTCCGTCCATTATAGCGAAGGTCAAGTTGAACTGGTAAATTTGAAGTGAAACAATTGACGACACCCGTCAATTTTTTCGAATTCGGGCTGGCCAATCAGATCGCCATTGTCACAGTAATGATTTGGCAGAATAGTTTTCAAACAAATAAATGACGCTTCGTCTCTATTTCTGGTTGTATACTCGATGCCGTGGTATAATAAAACCACGTGTGATCAATGAAAAACAGGGCTTGGAATATGGGTATTTTCAGGAGAGTATTTTAAAGGGAACCGGTAGGTAGTAATACTAGCCTTGCATTGTTCCACTAATCTTAATATGGTAAGAGCTATATACGCGTATACCGGTACCGGTACTAAATTAATCTATTTAATAATAACAAATCTTTATTTCCTTCTTTTGTTTTATATTCAATTTATAGTGATATTCGTTTATTCAGTTGAGATATCGGTTTAATCCTACTGTGGTGAATGTCATATAATGTAATTAATTATAAAAAAATAGCCAGATGTCTTGTTATATTATTCAAATCTGTCTCTCGCTTCATTATAATATTGAATAGAACAGTTATTCTTCGTCACACCACTAAGTTTCAAACTGAAGCTTCACCAGTGCAAACGTCAATGCAATGAAAACAGTGCACATGCTTAACTCCGCGCGCGACGCGTCGGCATGATCTGACTGACGTATCGGCCTCAGCCGAACGTAGCAAACTGGCAACGCCGCGGCAATCGCTATTGGGTGTCGATACCTTTCGGTACATACAATCGATTTTCCTATACTTAGTATTCAGGTATCGAAATGGAAAATAGTCAGAAGTGCTTTTATCGCATGAAAGCCGTAAAAATAATACGACTAACCTGAAACGAATGATAAGACTAAAAAGTTAACGACCAATTTGCTTTCGTTGAATTATTTCTGAAAGACAAGTAAAGCCCTCGTCAGGGCCGTTGTCCTCCACCACACTACATGTGCGTACACAAACTTGTAAATTAATCGCGCGTAGCAAAGGCTACGCTACTAGCTACGAAACTGATAACAGTCTCGTAGTCAAAGACTTTATAATATGTATAAACGTAGCAATGAACCAAGTAGTTCTTTTATTCTATTTACAATCAACTTAAGTTTTTTTATGATTTTGATAACTTTAAAGCAATGATCATTATCAATCATCATAGTCATTGTTCTACATTACGTAAATTATAATTGTCAAAAATTAGTACTTTCTACGTACACCATATACTAAATCTATGACGTACACAGAATGTAGTACTTTCCACCCAGGCTAATTAAAAGTTCTCATTTCAAGTTCATATTTATTGTGAGTTTGTAATTTTTAACTCTTCATTTTTTGCTATCAAAGAGTCGAGAAAAAGTATTCACCGGCAAATAAATTACAAAAAACTTCTCTACAATTAAAAAAGGTAAATTAGGAAAACCTATAAACTTTTGTGCATAATACAAACAATGTGCCTTTGTTTGAACTATGAACAATCGTTTTAGGAAATTATACTGTAAAATTAACATTTCTTCGGTATTCTTAGCAATGCAAGTAACATAAATTTGTTATTATAAATTTATTGAAAGTAGCAACAGAACAGTCGCGCGCGCTCAGAAATATTTCAAATGTTTAATAAAGTAAAAAAAAGCATTATAAATTAAAGCTCAAACTCTAATAATCTTATAATTATTTATACAAAGATCGAATAATAAGAAAAATTCCTTCGATCTAACTGGATCCGAACCAGTGCCTTTGATCGATTATAACAAACTAGCGGAGTAATTTCGCAAAAGAAAAATTTAATATTATGGTAGTCATTTATTTCACAGGTATGTTTTTAAAATTAAATGGACTTGTTCTTGACCCACTACCAAGCCCTGGAGCAAAGATAGTATCTTCTGTGGGACGAGCTCGCCTAGAAGATGCCTATTTCAGTCGGATTGTATATGCTCTGAAACACAGTCGCAGGCAGGGAATTCCATTCCTGGGCCGTGCGCATAATAAAAGATGACGAAAAGCATTTAGTACACCTGAAGGGAATATCGACCAAGTAAGGATGATATCCCCTTCAGTACATCTGGATGTCCAATAGTAAAAGGGAGCGGGCATGATGAGCAGAAAACCGACAGATAGGCAACTTTGCGCGGGTGGTCTAAACTATGAAGTTTAGATTCGAGCCTATAAAAGTAGTAAGCAATAAGTCTCCTGGCTCTGCATTCAACCAAATCAAGAGCCTCAAGTTGATATTTCGATGAGCCATCCCTCAAGGGACTGCAATACTACATGCAAAATCGCACATGTACTTTGACAGAGTTAAGAGCTGTCCAGGCGTGAAATATCGCTTAACATTATTAAGGACACCCAATTTTTTGACTGCAATTTGTGCTTAGCAAAGTTATTATTGAAATTGTCACATTAATTAAACTCTACTACTAATTCGTAAGGCAGATTCCCCTAAGAAGAATGAAAAAATCTTTTGATGTTGCTCTTTGTAAATAAACATTTGTACACATTCATCATTTATCATATTTACTTCAATTATCATGGTCCGAGATAACCTGCAAAAGCTAAACGGTCACTACCATGTATTTTTGTCATCCAAGTACTTGCGCAGAAGCGTTAATATATATTTTTTTCACAATAGCTTTAAACCTCGTAAATGGTAATTCTGAATATGAACATCTTATTACAGAATCTTTAATAAAATTTACCTATCTAATCCAAAATAAGCATTTTGTGTAGAGTAAGAATATCATGGTCACTAAAAATCGGAGGCGCTACCTGTAACATCAAGTACCTGTAAAACGGTTTAACCAATTTGGAAAAAGTATTCGATAATGGAACCTCCTAGAAAATTTTGCCGCTGAGCCGAGGTTAAGCTATTGTGCATCGGAGAAGAGGTATTCATTATATCAAAGTTATGTAAGTAAGTTTGACGTGTGCACGTGAAGTGTCATGCATACTTAATGCGGACGTTAGGTTAATTAGCTCGAGTAATCGATTATCGAGTATGACGTGTCGCTTTTCATGTGTATCATATGTGACCGACTCTACGACGACGACTTTTATGAATTCAATAATCTGTCGTTCTTCATCGCGCATGCACAAGTCGACGCACTCGTAAACGCACGACACAACTACACGTTTATGTTTACAGACACGCGTATACACACACATACAGTGATATACGCAACAAATATAGATCCGAAAACATAGTTTCATTACTTTTTTTCCAGAAAAGAAGAATTATTTCATTACTTTTTTTTCCAGAAAAAAAGAATAGTTTCACTACTTTTTTCCAGAAAAAAAGAATAGTTTCATTGCTTTTTTCCAGAAATAAAGAATAATTTCATTATTTTTTTCCAGAAAAAAGAATAGTTTCATTACTTTTTTTCCAGAAAAAAAGAATAGTTTCATTACCTAGAAATAAATAAATTCAAGTCCCAATTCATTCGGATCGAAATATCACGTATATTGACTGATATAATTATAAGCAATTTTGTTCCGAAATTCTATAAATGGTATTTCAAATAAATAAACTATGTTGAAATAGATAAGTTACAAGTATATTATTTGGCACCGTGCACAGGAGATGACCTTTCCAATTGAATGGCTAAGCTTCTGGTCATCAAAGGCTTCAACGAGGCGAATTGAAAGCTCCTTAACGAGGAGTTACACCTGTGGCCCCCTCGACACAGGTTTTCCACTGCATGTGACACAGTGTTGTGTTGTGTTGCTGAGGTTGGCATATTTGAGCCTTTGATGGTTCTGGATGAAAATATTTCAAAGTATTAGTTAGGAAAGAGATTCTTCAATCGGTGACCTATTGTAGTAAACTTTTTTTGCGATTTCTCAGCGGTAGCAAGACGTCATTAAAGTAATAAAAATTCATTTAAACAGGACAAAACTTCATTAGTTCGGCAAACGTTAATGTGAACACCTTTTCAATTGCTATAACAACCTAAACATTCATTTCTGATGGGACCTGGGGGCCTACCACAACCTCTTAAAACAATATTACTTTAACCTTACATTGACTTTTCGTACCATAACACGCTTAAAGTAAGCTTATTTGTAATGTTAAAACTATGCTGTTTTATTGGCAGCTTTGTGACTATTCATTCACTCAGTTCGTACTATGACGCGACTTTGACATTAAAGTGATATTGCTCTTATGTCAAATTTGGCAATCTTAAAATAGTTACACGGATGCAATGGAAACAATATTATTTTCAGTTTTATTGACTTAATATTGATTTGTAATGATTAAAAGTTAAGTTTAATTTATTTATTTACATTTATCTCTTCAATGTTTTGTTTATTTTTTATTTAATAGCACATAGGAAATAATTTCTCGTAAAATAAAAATACGCGATGTTTATTTCGTAAAATTATAACAGCGCCATCTATTTGCTCCTTGGCGAAACTAACAGTTGACACTAACTAAGGTTATGGTTCCGAATTCACAACGTGACTATCAAGACTCAGCCAGTTTTATTTATTTTTCTTCATGAAAATGCGGAATAATAATTGAAAACAACGTAATTTTAACAGATTTCATTATTACATACTTTTCTTTTTTTGGCAGACAAAATTCTCTGAATATAAATAATATTAAGTACTTTAACATTATAATTACGATAACATGATTCGGAATATCAAAAAAGAAAGAGATGGCATTATACAATTCATATAGCATTATTTATTTCCTACTTTTAGTAAGGAATAGACAATATTGGGAAATCATTCGTTCTTTCAGTCACTTCAGCAATAATACATTACTTAGTTGATAGGTTTGTCATGGTACGAAAATAAGTAATATTGCAATAAGCTTACTTTATGCTTACATTGAAATAAGATTGTTTTTAGAAAGGATATGGTAGGCCCCCAGCTGTTCGAGCACATCACAATAACCTATTCTTGTAAAATGTAGATAGTAATTGGCGTATACTATTAATGGAATTTAAATGCTATGTCGTTGGTCAGTTTTGATACTGGATATACAATGATATAGAGCACTGCGATTGGTCAGTGTAAAACCTTTACTGAATTCTTGAAATTCATATACATAATATATTGCGGCTACTGGACATACCGCATGGCGTAACGGTTGACCGTCTCTACAAACAAAAACGACGTACATAATTGTACAAGTCAGTACGTATAGTAAAACCTTGTTAATATTGTAGTAATAGTGGTGTATCGGTTTGGAACTTACCATTTTTCTTCGGCGCCGTCCACTTTTATGTCAGGGATGTTGGGAATCTTCTTGTTCAGATATGCTGACGATATCTTGAGCAGCGCCTGCACACAATATGTATTATATTTAAATGCTAGTTTATTTTTTATTAAAATGTTGTATTGCTTCAGCCCATTCGCTTATTTTGTTAACTCTGTTTTTATTACCATTACTTAGTAATTAATGTGTAAATTCGCAACAATGCTCAAATGTAAATTTGTCGCTTTTTGTTTGTATATTTCGTGTTTATTTATTTTGTACTTATACTTATCTAATATCAAAATAATACCATTCCAAAATCAGTATAATACCATTGCTGTACCGTACTCTATGTGGGCAACAGGAATCTTTGAGTAAATAAATGGTACATAACTATTTGACGTCACATTTTAACTTATATCTTATTATCATACTTATTTGTGAAAACACAACATAGGTACAATAACGTAGGTACAATAAAAGCATAAACAACAGAAACTAAAACTAGGATTAAATTATATGAATAAAATTGGGTTCCGGCGGCTAAGGTGCCCAAGATGCTGGCAGCGTACCCCCTTTATATGACTATGGTAATGCGTTGAGCAAGGTTCCTGCCGACTTTTGGGTTTCCCAGACGGTGTCATAATTCTTTTAGATAAAATTTTGAACAAACGAAAGGCGACGCGACTCGGGGAAGAGTTGCGACTCCATAGGTTGTAAATAGGTAGTCGGAGCCGAGGTCCTGGTACTCTTTCCGCCAGCCCTGTTGCCGGTGTGCTGGAGATGGGATGGAACAAGTGTGTCAGCACACGTGGCGTCTCACACCTGTGCCCGGCCCATGCTCCAAGGGATGAGAGTCATTGCGTCCGTTGTTTCCATCAGATCGGGCCATGCCGCTTGGCTCAAGTATAGCGGGCACGTTAACCCTGGCTAAGAGCCAGCGGATGATGTCGTTTTAATTATAATAAGTCAATGACTACGCATTTCGTAGTTTTACGCCTTCGAGTAAAAATTACGTAAGTGTATCTATTAAATACTAATAAATAATAATTACGACGTCTACACCCGGTCGTTGGGTTACCGTAGTAGGAAGAATGTTACACCGCTTTGTCCAGCTGAAGTTGTGTTGGTGTAATGTTTGCACTCCACACCACTTAAATATCTTTTCACTTCTCATGCTAGCTATATGCTCATCATAACTACCCTAGGGCGATAATGGATTCTTTAAAATTTAATTGCACTGTTCTCCTCGCACACATCAAGATTAAGCAAAAAGTTTTTATGCTCGAAAAATTTAAATGTATTCGCTTAGGCTTGAAGTATGGAAAAAAAATTGCAAAACTATTATTTTTTTGAATATATAAAGCTACAAGTTCTTACTCACTGATAGAAATGGAACTATACTTCCCGGTATGATGGAAATAAAATATTTATACCGCTGTACGCGGATAGGCTCCAAGGCAAAGAATCAAATATGAGAGGACCTGCATATGGAAAATATGAAAGAGTGATCAACGGCCTGCAAAATCTATAATTATATTATAGATTTTGCATATTGTGTATTTTCATATTGGAAGCAATATTTGTGCATTTTTATGATTATGAGGTACACCTGGTCAATATCCGCGGGAAGTAAAAATGTTCGAAATTCAAATAAATAAGATGGCCGCCATATAAATTTCAAAGCCCCCTATCACGGAAACTATTAGAGATAGGTAGGAGGTGCTCGAAGGAATGTCATAGAGGGTAACACTGGTCAACTGCCTGGGTTAAGAATATTCAAGATGGCGATTTCAAAATGGCGGCCGAAGAAAAACTTGCTTCGACCCGGCTGAAAATTGGCATGCAAGGGTCTTTAGGAGTCCTTAAACATAATTTTGGGTCAAAAGTTTCTTTTAGCCATTTTTAAACATGGCTGCCATATAAGTGTTTTTTTCGTTAAGAATAGCTGCCGAAAGAGATTTGCTCTTAATCGGCTGAAAATTGGCATGTAGAAGGCCTCTAGAAGTGCCGGATAATAATTTGTGATCAAAATTGGTTTTTCGCCATTTTTTAATATGGCTGCCATACAAACTTTTTTGGCGGTAGATATTTTTTTTTCTAATTCAACTGAAACAAAACCATAACAAAAATTTTGTTTCCGCCGTTTTTCGATATAACCTTAATTTTTTATGTAAATAGCTGTTGAAAAAACTTGCTTTGCTTGGAGAGATTGTTTGATAAAAATTAGTGGCAAAAATTTTAATTGTCATTTTTGAATATGGCCGCCATTAAGGAGTTATTTAAATTTTTAAAAACAAAGTGATAATTGCCGACGAAGGGCAAGATCCGCGGAGGGCGAAGCCCGAAGCTTACGCACGCTATCGCGATGGAGATGGTATACGGAGGCGTAATAGATTACGAGTATAAGATCTCACAATTATAAAAATGTAAGGCATACTTCCCGATGTAGTGAAAACAAGATACTTATTATAACGTTGTTGTATCTCGATCGTCTCTCTCTTAGATTCCATTTTCTTTAAAGCTATGCCAAAGAGAAGTATTTAGGGGGAAAAAATGCCAAACTACTGCCGAATTTCCTGTACTATGAATACCAAAACAACAATAACCCAGAATACTCAGAACAAAACCAACTTAGAAATTTAATGTTCGTTTCTTGAATTGGCCCAAATCGGGAATCGAAATCCTCATCAAGCTCCCGTAATACTAATTGCTGTGCCATCGAGGAGCTTGAGCACATCTCGTAAACTGAACCCGACCACGCGACGCAGGCCGAGTCCGACCCCACCTTAGGTGGCGTACAGGGCTCATATATTACTAACTTAATTTCAAAAATTCATATTCTGCAGTATGTTCAGTATTTTGAAATAATTATTTTCTTTTTAATAGCTTTATAATTTAATAACTTTTCTTTTTAAATAAATTTATTTTATCATGACTATGCGTTATTACCTTTCACAATATTTTAGTTCTAATTGTATTAGAATAGCTGGCCATCTGTTTATAAATAATAATAAAAAAACTCGAAATTTTGAAAATCCGTAATTGATGTGTTGTGAAGCGGTATTTATTCATACAAGTGGTTTCGTGATTGTATTTATTCCCTCGCAAATGTGATCAAAAACATTGTTTCTAGCACAGGCGAATATAAATTACAAACCACGAGTCATTATAGCCCTCAGTCTTCGGCTTCGAACTTCTACCAGGTTCCCGTCATTAATTTCTTATTTACAGCCCTTAATGCCCGCACTTAGATATCCACTATTTGTGCTAAGTGCCATACAAATAAATAGTGGATACCCAAGTGAGGGCACCAACTGAACTATTGTTTCCCTTACTGCGAATTGTGCATTAGCTATACCTAAACTAAGATAAATAGCGTTCTTATTGGACGTAGTTAAGCAAAAAAGATCCATTCCACAAACTTATCAAAAAATGATAATTGTATGTACCAAACGGTTATTAAAGCCTAACCTCTTAGATCAGCTAAACATATCAATATATAAACATAAATAAATATCTCTGGAGTTGCATAATAACAATGTAGAGAGCGAGTTCGCAGATTTCGTGTCCTTAAGGGTATCAAATGTCAGCTAAATAATGGTTTCTATAATGGGTGCATTAGAGTTCACTTTTCAAGAAAAGCGTATTTTATTTAGCCAAGCGCAAATTGTTTTTATTAACTTATTTCAATATTGGAAGAGCTAATTATATTGCACAGCTACATTGCATATGTCAAGTCACGATCTGTACGGTTGTGGTACTCTACTAGAATTTCCTTTTTTGCTTTGACAAAAGTGTAACTTTGTTATATTATAATTTGCACTTCAGAATTATCCACACCCACATCAAAAATATTGCCTGTTAAAAAATAAAACACACTAAGTGCCACTCCGCTCTAAATGGAGCTTTTATATATTTATTTCATTGGGAAAAACATGTATGACAAAAATTGTGTAAGTACGTAGTGTCCTTCATTATAAAACTGCATTTCGTAAATAGTTACAATAACAGATAACAGTATAGTCCCTTTGCAAGTAAAACACAAAATCTTGATCTCCATTAGTCGATTTGGCTGTTTAGTGAGTTTCACCTTTAAACTAACGATATATACCTATCAGGTATTTAATAAAATACATTTTAGTATCCTTAGGAGTTATCCTAGTTAGTAAAGCAAGCCTCGCCCTAAGCAGACAGCACACAACGTCACCGTTTAAATTTGTATAAATTCGCATACTGCATTGCACAGCCGTGTGTGGGAATGCATTCCCCCCACACCTTCTACTTCCACTAACAATATGTGTAAATTTAGTAACAAACTTTTTGACCTTTACCTCGGAGTAAGACTTTTCGATAGCTGAACGCTTGATGGTGTAGGTGCGCAGGTCTTCGAGGAGGTCGCACTCATGCTGGTTTTTCGCATGCAGCTTCGAAATCTGCTCCGTGTGCAAGTTCTTGAGGAACTTGGTGTAGTTACTCTGCGACAAACGAATAACGATATATATGTATATATATAACGATCTTTAAAAACAATAGTAATCTAAAATTTGTCGATCATTTGTCAGCGATTGAACACACACCTCTTGAACAAAATAAAAATAAATTCAAATTCATTTCAGGATATTCCAATTACGGTTGAGATATGTAATGTAGCGGACTGTAGCAATGGATTCCGGTGGGTGCTATCAAAGAGTGAGCAACACCAAAGTAAATGTACTTACAATTTATTACCGAACATCAATCAGAACAGAAACAATAGTTAAATAATAAGAAAAGGCGCCAAAAACATTCAAATTTAAATTTAAAATTTAAATATGTTTATATTATATATATATATATATATATATATATTTATTTATTTATATAAATTTTAAATACAAAGTATATTTATAATTATATGTAAGTATATGTATATTTATAAGTATATACGCTACGAGACAGTTTAAAAAATGTTTCCTAGTTTTTAACCGACTTTAAAAAAGGAGGAGGTTCTTAATTCAACTGTATGTTCTCTTTTGTATGTATGTTACGCGATAACTCCGGTAATTGTGAACCGATTTTCATGATTCTTTTTTTGTTGGAAAGGGGGTACTTCCATTTCATTTTGAAGAAAATCATTCATCTTTAAGGATGACTGTTCACACATGAAGATTCATTTTTATAAATAGCGCCTAACTTTAATTTAGGAGCAATTATTTTAATGGTCGATTTTCCTATTTCTCTCAATATACTTTGAGTAGTGAGAACCGATTTTTATTATCTCCAGTGTCAAGTCCTGTATAGTGGCGAACTAGGGGATATTTCAACAAAACTTAGCAAATAGACGTAATTCCACGTACTTTTGAGATCGGTTTTTTTAGTACTCTGTACTGAGATTATCAAGTAGCTTATTTTAGCAGTTTAATACAGACTGAATGAAATTAAAATGTCACTTGACACACAACTTGACCGCAAAATTAGTTCTATAAATACGAAGTTTAAGTTACCTGTACTTAATCCTGTTGATTGAAATAATCTGGATTGTCGCAGTGTACAATACAACCGTTTAAAGTAGTTGAAGTTTCACCTAAATATCTAAATATGTTTTAATGTGATATTATAAAAAAAATAATAACTTACTGGAGGGCTGGAACTTTATCACTGTACCATGATTATTGAAATGACATAAAGATATTATTTAAAATTATATATAAATTATATATATTTTTTCTTCAAATTTCTTTATTCAGACAATTGGTTTTGTTTCGGGTTATAAGAGTCACATTTGTATTAGTAAATTTAGAAAGCGTTTATTCCCAGTGGTTCCATACTAATCATTATAAATATTAGACAACAGCACATACGTTTCTCTGGTCCCAAGGTAAGTAGCTAACGCACTTGTGTTATGGAAATTGGAAACAATAACGGTCACACAAACAACTCGAGACAATATAGAAAAGTCAGTATTTCTACACTGACCCGGCTGGGAACAGAACCAGGGACCTCGGAGATGGTGACACCACGAAAGCCGTTGTGCATGTCACTCGACCACAGAAGTCGTCAATTTCACTGATCAGTGTGTATTTCCACAGTTCGACACATATACATAACTTTAGTTTCACTGCCTCCGTGGCCGAACGGTTACAATGCCGGACTGCTACGCAGAGGTCCCAGGTTCGATTCCTGCGCCGGGAGAAATGTTTGTATGGCCTACATTTATTTCTCTCGTGAGTTTGGCTGTAATTTGTGGTTGTCTATGTGTGTGTCCATGGCACCCGCGACACAGGGTTTCCCTAGTGCGGGGCTATGTTGAGTGTGTGCGTTGAGTGTGTGCGTTATTTAGTAGCAGCAGAGTTCCTTGTGAAAGAGTTCGTCGAGGAAAGAACTTCCATCTTACCTATTTCTGCCGCCAAGCAGTAATGTGATTCTATTTTTAAAAAGAAGGATGGCTTCTCTTTTAGAATTTTGCCAATGTCTAGTCAGTCATGGGAGCTACACTTTTATTTGTTTTTTATGTGTTATTTATAATGTTTAAACATTTAACACTGCTCTTTAGTCTATTCCAATTCTGAAACAATACAACACGGCACAATATAGGTACCATCACCATTAATGATATAAATAAAATAAAAATAAATTGTGTTATAATTTAAGTTTGTTAATACTAATAAAATCAGTAATTAATTTCAGTAGGGGATTTGAAAAGACATATAGCAGAAACTGGAAATTTACGGGACGCGGAATTGACGGTGGAAGACTATCGTAGACGGAACAAGTTCTGGAAGGGCAGCTGAAAAATATATGGTCTGGGGGTACCTTCATCTAGGCCACATTCACAAATTGAGTTGCCAGATGGACCGGGGTGCAGGCATGACCAAGGCGAAGTCGGCATATCGTAGATGTTACAGATTTACTGAATCCTTTAAGGTTAAAAAACCAAGGTTTTTTTGGGGATACTTATTTGGATGTCAGCATAGTACTTGCCCTTGATAAGCTTGATTTTATTGCAGTAATGCGAGCTGGTGAATTTACAAGCACATAAGACTTGTCAACTTTGTCTCAGGGTGACGTGCGCAACCACCTTGTGCAGATCCTGACCGGGCACGGCTGCTTCGGTCACTACCTGCACAAGGTGGCGAGGAGGGAGGCGTCCCCGTCGTGCCACGAGTGCGGCGTCGTGGATGACACCGCGCAGCACACCCTCGAGGTGTGTTGCCGGTGGATCGAGCGGCGCCGCACTCTGGTGGCGACAATAGGGAGGGACCTCTCGCTGCCCAGCGTGGTCGCGGCCATGCTGCGGGACGAGAGGTCCTGGGACGCGGTGGCCTCCTTTTGCGGGAATCGCGGGATCGCGAGGACGCGCCTGACGCACCCCCGCTCCGGCGTAGACGGGCGGGAAGGAGGCGGCGGCAATTTGCCGCTCAACTCCTTCCCCACTGAGGCCAGCGGACAGGGACTAGGGCCCCCTGTTCGCATTGCACGGCCTCAATCGTCTGGGGAGAGGGGCGGAGAAAACCGATCCTCTCCTCCATAGGCGCGGGAGCCCCGACATAGTAGCCGGGGCGGCCGGGCGGCGTCGTGGTGAAATAGAGATGATCCCACGGCGCCGGCACAAACCCGGCGAGAGGCAAACCGATGGGGTTTAGTGGGTACACCCCTGGGTCCATGCTAGATCCAGGAGCAGCGCCCTTTTCAGGGCGCCGGGACTCCCACATAACCTCCGAGCCGCCCGGGCTCGGGGGTATCCATAAAGGATTCCCCACCGTTACCAAAAAAAAAAAAAAAGGGAGACGTGCGCAGTGGCAGTGTCACTCAGATTTTTGCGATTTAAAGCTCCGAGTGGCACTACAACTGTTATGTACAGGCTTGTAGCTTACCACAAGGCGCACGACTTGTTCGTCCCGACACTTGATAGTACATTAAAAAAAATCTGACAGCCAACACTAGTCTTAAAACAGCTTTTATGTTTCATAAGTTTTTCGTCTAAACAACATCATATAGGTATGTTTTTACTACCTTAATATTCCATTACTTTGTTATTGATGATAAAATCGAACACAAAGAAAAATTGTAATGGACATGAACCAGCGTCTGTTGCCGAACAGTGGCCTCGGCGTGACAACAGACGCTGGTTCGAGTCTAGTCAGAATTTTTATTTCATTCGTTCGATCATCTGTATCAATTTTGTATCACAACATCATTGTAGCGAATCGCTACAAATCTCTTTGTATATGTATATTTATTTATTATTTATTTATTGTATATATATTTTATTATATAGTCTTTCTTAAGCTTATTTTTATATTTAAATTCTAAATTAAAAATGTATTTGTTTTTGGCGCCTTTTCTTGACTTTATTTGTTGCTGTTTTGCTTTGATTAGTAATTTGATGGTATTTTGTAATAAAAATTAATAAGCTGTAAGTACATTTGCTTGGCCTTGTTCACTCGTTGTTAGTACCCACACTTTAACCCATTGATACAGTCCGCTACAATCATACTTGATTTAATATCAGAATCCCAGCTGCATATATCGTCATGTTGCTTCCAATTTCTCAGTCCAACCAATTGATGTGCCCCGCGGGCACGTAACCTGGATAAGATAATCCTATACAATTACTGCATGTGATAGAAAAATGAAGATAAAATTAAATTAAATTTATTACGGCGCAGAAGAGCTTAGGCCCGCAGCTAAACTAGGTCTGCAGATTCAATTAAGCCTTATGGCAAATTTATATTGCCGCTTTAGAGACGCTGAGCTTGCACCATAACCTAAACTGATTCACATTTGGGTTACTGCATAAGGGATCAATGTCATCACAAATACCGAAAAACATGGTAGTTGTTGATCGCAAATAGTTTTTGGTATTCGCAAAATCTCACAACATAAGTCATCCCCGAGCAGTCGACATACAACGAGTCCCATACGAAATTGGGTTAGAATATCTAAACCAGAGGTCGGTTTAAACTTGAAACGGAACCCGGACGAGCCCAAATGTGAGTATTGGCTGACCCCGTGATTGGTTTGCTAGTAGTAATGAGATTTGAGACGCATCCAGCCCCGGGTCCAGTTGCAGCTCGAGAGGTGACATTAAATTTGTATCGTCTGAACCCGAATTCATTTGTTGAGTGACAAGCGAGACGGATACGGCAAAATATAGAAATTTGACTTTTGACGGTCTTTCCTTCATTACATTTTTAGTTGTTTCAATATACTTGTCTTATGTTCTGAATACAATTGGTAGAATCGGATTGAGACTACCAAATCTTTCCATTAAGAGACATTTACAAGACTGTTTGTTTCGTTGGGTTAGCACTAAGAATCAAATACCAAATGAATCTTTATCACGAACAAAAAGATCCATATAATAATAATGCACACACTCATAATCTCAATCCATCCATCCAAACTCACTAGAGAAATAAATGTAGGCCATACAAATATTTCTCCCAGCCTAGGACATATAAAGTACGCCGAAGCTCACGAACATAGACTTCAT